CTCCAGGTATGGGTTAAAACAGAGCAAACTGTGTTCTGAAGCCTTGGGTGGTAGCCAGTCTAGGACAAAACCGTGTAGAATGCAACGGGAAATTGCTTTACTATGTTTCGCAGGAACTAGAATTTACAGAGAAGAAAGAAAAGGAATTTGTGGAGAGCCATGATCGCCTGCGTCTTGATAAGAGATCACAGTTAAAAGATCGTTCATTTTATTTACATTTGTCGTTCTTTTTATAGTCAGTAGCTTGGTTTATTTTAAGCGACCTCATCTGGCGTAGGTACTGCACGCAGTTATTTTTACATTCTAAAATTCAACTAACAGAAGAGACTGTACAAGGTCAAAAGGGCATGGTCTCCATTAAGTAATAGATTCAACATAGTAGTATGGGTCTTTTACAATAGCTTGCTTGCAGGTACTCGACCCTGAATCGCACAAACAAGTATATATATATATATATATATATATATATATATATACTCGTTTCGGAAAACCTTCGAATTTTTGATTTGCCAGTAATCAAATCAATCTCGAAGGAAAAAAAGGTTTTAAAAAAAGAAAGAGCTAGAAACATGAAAGTCTGTCGAAAAAAAATCGCACAAATACAGGTTCAAAGCCCAAAGAAAAAAAACCCGACACGAGTAAACAACTAACTAACTAAAAGAGCCCAATACAACCGTAGAGCAGACCGTAGAGCAGCCAGCTTTCCCTGACGATCCGCTTAGTTGAAACCTGGGTAGGTTTGTCTGGCTCACTAGGTTTATCTATCTATCTATCTATCTATCTATCTATATATATATATATATATATATATATATATATATACTAGTAGTAGTATATATATATATATATATTTTTTAGTAGTATATATATATATATATATATATATTTCTAATATATATGTATATATATATAATATAAACATTGAGGTCAACACTTGGAGGCGACAGGCTGTTTCATGCTAGACGCAATCGTCGGGGCCTAGCTATTGCGTCTATAGCATGAAAACAGCCTGTCGCCCTAAGTGTTGACTTCAATGTTCACTTAGATTTACGCACGCTGTATCTCTGATATTGATCACTTTATCTCATAAATATAGCACACCTTAAGAGTATATATATATATATATATATATATATATATATATATATATATATATATATATATATATATATAAAAACAGAATGCGTAAAAATAAAGAAAATAATTTGTTGTTCTTTTTATAGTCAGTAGTTTGGTTTATTTTAAGCGACCTCATGTGGCGTAGGTACTGCACGCAGAGTTATTTTTTGCCGCTATAACGAAACCTGGAAAAACAGGGAGAAATCAAGATGGAAGTTGTTGCTCAAATAACTATAGATTAAAAAACAAAATCTCGGTGATTTATGTGGAAAAGTATTGAGGTCGTCTGGCGTCGAGCTAGCAATCGTATCTATCTGATCAGTCAGTATAGAAATGAGTTCCATTCTCAATGTCAAGCGCCTACTATACTGCTCTTATGTACACTATTTACATTCGGACTATTGTACCCATCTTTATTGCTGTTGTTACAGCATTTCGACCGTTGTGTTCTCCAGCCTTCTAAAGGTGTATATCGGTATGAGTAACATAGAGGGAATTCCGAAGTGAATCCTCTATTTAAAATAGACTGTTTTTCTTCCACTGCCCATGGATATCTTATCTAGTTCTTATTTTTAGTACTTATCAGTTATTGTTCACTCTGTCCCACTGAATGGAATCTGCCCTTTTAGATAAAAAAGCCCCGATCTAGGGTATAATAATAAACTACATCTGGAAGCAAGGCCACTAATCGGGAGGTTTTGATGATCGTAGAGCCACCTCTTAATTTCTGTTTCTCCCAGGCCCAGTCTAACCCACAGTGGTAGCACCTGTTATGGGCCCAACTATGGGCAAAAATTAACCCCCGAAACTGGTGTCAAAACACTATGAAAGTAGAAAAATATATTTTCATAGGAAAAATACAGTGATACATTTTTGGAAAAAAAATATTAGCAATACATTTTAGCAAATGAAATTACTAGTGCTCCCAAGAAAATTAAATTTCGGCATTAAATGACCCAAAAGGAGTTGATATGACTTTAAACAAACAAATCCTAAAGCCAATAAAAACGTCCGAAATTCCTTGATAGTTATACGTATTGGCAAACACCTGATGAAGGTTGGAAGGCATAACGGCCGAAACGTTGTGGCAACAACAACACAGTTGAGGACAATATTCCGAATGGAAATACTGTAAATAATGATACATCCCAAGTCCAGAAAATCAAAAAGAAATTATACTGCCCTTTTCTGGATAAGACTGATTACTGGAGTCGTTTTCTACGGCTTATCAGGTTATTTAAAGCCAGAAAATATTTTTTAGATTGTAAGAATATATTTTGGCGATGAGAATGTTTTACAAGTTTTACTAATTTCTTCTTTTAATTTCTTCTGCTTAATCAGTAGATTGATTGATTGATTCGTTTTCTACGGCTTATCAACCCTTTGCAGGTTATTTAAAGCCAGAAAATATTTTTAGATTGTAAGAATATATTTTGGTGATAATAATGGTTTACAAGTCTTACTAATTTCTTCTTTTAATTTCTTCTGATTAATCAGTAGATTGATTGATTGATTCGTTTTTTACGGCTTATCAACCCTTTGAAGGTTATTTAAAGCCAGAATATATTTTAGATTGTAAGAATTATTTTTATTTTGGAGATAATAATTGTTTAGCGATAAAAATATTACTAATTAAACCATAGCTAGGGGAAAGGATTTGATTCATACCTTTCCCAAGGGTATTTGTGCGTAATTGAATATAACCCCGAAATATAACCTAACGGGGATTGGAACTCGGCTCTCTGATTAACAATTCCGAGCCCTAATCCACTGCACCAGCCGCACATACAAGCTTATAGCGCCTAGTATTCACCCATCTAGTTATTGACTGTTACATAATAGTAGCAGATTATTATTTTTTAGTGGCTGTGCATTTTCTGTTAAGGGGTCTACCCCTTTTTCATACAAGTGGACTCGCCCAGTGTGTACTTGTACTGCTGCCGGTGAATACCCAGAGAGAGAGAGAGAGAGAGAGAGAGAGAGAGAGAGAGAGAGAGTGACAGAGTCAGAGTGATGCAGTGAGACAATGAGAGAGTGAGAGTGTGATGTAACCGCTTTGTAGGAGTCACAGTTGCGAGCACGTAGACTCAGAAGGAAGACATATATCGATACTGAATTTCCCAGACTGTATATATATATTATTATTGCTACTAACCGCATTTCTGGATAACCGTATTACCAATTGTATTATTACGTCAATACATTTATTTGCTATATTTCATTCCTGCGTTTGTCATTCATTTTGAGACCGGATTTCATCCCGGAATCCACAACACCTTCTGAGGCTGACCTTTCAGGTCAGATGGTAAACAAAATACAGAAGTCGATTATTTTGATTGGTTGAGCCGAACGTGCGAATGATTTATAGATTAAAATTTTTAAGGGTGTTGCTTTCGGACGTCAAGCTAACAAGACATGTCAGACTGCGTTTGTGCAACCCCCTCCCTGTAGGGAAGGGTATTTCAAGAGTTGGTTGTTACACGTCAAAGGAACTGCACGTGTGAGATTTCGTGTTTGAAACTGGTTCCCTAATAGGGGATGTAGTAACCCCCCCAACTTGAGAAGATGTACTTGTCGGCGTGGTTAATAAAATAATAGTTAAAAGTTCTCTATGTTGATGCTTTTCACCTCTGAACCCAAAGAACATGTCGCGACACCGACTAAGAGAATACTGAACTAAAACGACCAGTGATCAACGGCCAGACGAGATGAAACCCCACCTCAACGAAGGCTAGACAACACTGGCCAGGTATGACATTGCGGTGATCCTACGGGAACCGGTGTTGATGTGGCCGGAAGCCAATTTTCTAGATAAGTGGAGTAAATGTGTATTTTTTTGTGGGGAAATTCCTTTATTCAGAAAATCAATTTAACTTTTTATAAGCTTAAATCTTTCTGTGTCAGACCCCCCCTAAAAGAAAAGAAAAAAAAGCAGACTAGATCTGACAGTAAATATTTTACAGAGTGCTATCTCTTCCAAGGCACTGCTCCGTTATACACTCGCTCAAGCTCTATAGGAAGGTTGTGCGTTGCTTTCCTCTCGCTTTCTCTCATCTTCTGCCCTGTGAGTATCAAATTTTCCAAGCCCTCTTTCCACATTACGTGCCCCAGAAATTTCAACTGTCTCTTTCCGATGTTAAGTATAAGTTTTATATTTGTTGTCATTTTCCTAGAACTTCGTCGTTGCTCACATGTTCGGTTCATGGTATTCTCAGTATCCTTCTGTAGGACCACATTTTGTTTCCTTAAGTACCGTTTTAAAAGAGTTAATTTTTCAACAAAATCGATGGAGTATTTTCAATGATTTAATTTGTTTGATTTTACGACGTGACAAACGTAAAATATCAAAGTAGCTTTTTTAAAATTCGAGTTGAGAGGCTCCGACTAAATAGTAAATTTAGCAGTCGTATATATTTTAGGCAAATAACGATTGTATATATTTTAGTTTGTGGGCATTGATTTGACTTGGAAATAGGTAAACTATAGTCATTTATATCAGTCTATAAGCATTTACTTCTTTTCACCTAAAATGACTTAATCTCAAACATTTCAAAGGGATTGAACTCATAATTACTATACCACTAAATTTCGGAACCAGCGATTTAATATTTCCTAGAAGAGCGGTACTAATAGCAAGCAGCAATAACTGAAAAGTACTAAAAAGAACAAGACGCGTTATCTTAGATATCAGCAGCTAAACCAATCAGTCTAGTCCTTAAGATAAAAAAAAGTCAGAAATTCATTGAAGGTTAAAACAATTGACAAACACTTGAAGAAGTCCGGAAAAGAAAAAGTTAAAAGATTGTTATAGTGACGACAAAAATTAAGATATTACTCCAACTGTAATTATTATATATAATGATTATTTAGAATTCAGACAGAAAATCAATCTATCTATCTGATTCTGTTAATAACTATATATTTTATCCTGTTGATATCTATCTATCTATCTATCTATCTATCTATCTGGTTCTGTTGATACCTATCTCTCTATTTTATCCTGTTGATATCTATCTATCTATCTATCTAATGCTGTTGATATCTATCTATCTATCTATCTATCTATCTATCTATCTATTTTATGCTGTTGATATCTATCTATCTATCTATCTGATTCTGTTGATACCTATCTCTCTATTTTATGCTGTTGATATCTATCTATCTATCTATCTATCTATCTATCTATCTATCTATCTATCTATCTATCTGATTTTGTTGACATCTATCTATCTATCTATCTATCTATCTATCTATCTATCTATCTATCTATCTGATTTTGTTGACATCTATCTATCTATCTATCTGATTTTGTTGACATCTATCTATCTATCTGATTTTGTTGACATCTATCTATCTATCTATCTATCTATCTATCTATCTATCTGATTTTGATGACATCTATCTATCTATCTATCTATCTATCTATCTATCTATCTATCTATCTATCTATCTATCTTTGCTGGTGTCTGTCTATCTTCTCCTTTCAAATAGTCTAATTTAATCATCTTTTGTTTTTCTCCTTCTCTTCGTCTATAAATCAAACAGAACACCGTCCAATCCTTCCGTCGAATATAATTTCGTCTGTCAAGCCTTCCAGCCGGACGCCGTCATGCCTTGTCTAGAAGAATTTATTTTACATCAAGAATTTATTTTATATCTCTTGTTGACTTGAAACGTTTGTTCCAATTTTTATGAACAACAAAAATCCTGTTTGTCTTTCGGAAATTATTTGGATCAATGCTTGTTTCGGAGAAAATAATAATGACAGGACGGTTTTATTAAAACTATATATTTTTTTTATAAGAGTACCATGTGTGCATTTAAATATATATATATATATATATATATATATATATATATATATATATATATATATATATATATATATATATATATATTTTCTGCTGTTGAATAACTTTTATTTTCTTTATATACATGAGCCGATTTCGAATTCCGAAGGATTTAGGTGCATTCACTTTTGTACCAGAAAGTTCGAGAAAAGGTATGAATGAATAATAAATGAAGCTGTGAATTAAATGGCGAAGTGTGCAATATATAAATGGTAATATTAGACTTACTATATTCCGTATGAGGAAACATTCGGCATTTATTGACCAAACAGACAGTGCTAGTGTTGGTTGAAATTTACAAAATCTTTTTTATCAAAATTTTTCTTTAGGAAAATAGGTTTCTCAGGCCCAGTAACAGTAATTGTTCTTTGATATAGATGAGGGCTTCTTTCCCAACCTCTTGTTTGAAGTTGTGTGAAACGTCAATAACTTGATTATGTCATTATTTTGCCCTTAAGTTACATCTGCTATTCAATTTTAGTTAAAAGTCCTCATGTGATGTGATTTCTGTTATCTGGTATATTTTTTTGTTTGGGATTCCGTAGCACTAGTCAGTTTGGTTTGAATTAGTGTAGTCCTTTCAAAGCCTGAGAAAGCGGTTGTAAACATTTGACAGTTTAGATATTTCTGAAGGGGTTTGGCGCTATGCAGGTCATCCATATGAAATTCTTGAGCTGACGACGCCACTTAAGTACATGGTTCACGTTGTCAGGTGAATTTTTTGTGGCATGTTGCGGTATTGTGTGAAACTACCTCAGCGCAAACTATTCTATGTTCAATTTACTTATATCCTATAATAAAGTTGTTATAACTGATCCACACGCTGAGGTATTTCAAGTGTTTAGTATTTATTCACTTCACATTCTGAATTTTTAATGCTGGGTATTGTTGGATATCAGTTGAGGAAAGAATTTTAGTCTTACTTCCGCTGCATCGATGTGTGAGCGGAATTCGGAACTGGTGATAGCATAAACAGGAAATACATCCGGTGGCTAAAATAAACAGTAGGGACAAATGTCCTGAATATTGAATAAATCAGGTGCACAGGAAGGAAGGAAATGAGTGCTTGTGTGGGTGTATGCTGGAAGAGGCTTGCACCCACAAGCACTCATTACATCGGTGACATACCGGAAGAAGGCGTCGCCACATGAAATTGCGTGGGTGTCCAAAAAGTAATATAAGCGGCGCGATATATATATATATATATATATATATATATATATATATATATATATATATATATATATGTGCTGCACCGAGTTGTTTGTGACCTTATATATAATTTAAGCCATAAATATACCATACCTCATAAAGTACATTTTTATAATATATATATATTCGTTTAGGTGAAACCTAGGTAGGTTTGCTTGGCTCCTTAGAATTATTCTAGCATATATATATATATATATATATATATATATATATATATATATATATATATATATATATATTGTGAAAATGTAGTTTATGGTATGTATGTTTATGGACTAAATTACTCAATATCAGGGATATATTAATATAAAAGTGGTCATTGAAGACAACATTCAGAAGCGACACTTTGTTTCACGTTTAAACGCCAATGGTCAGGCTACCCAGACGAATGCGGTTAAGCATGAAACAGATAGTTGCCGCTGGGTTTTGACTTCAATATTCACTTTTACAAACACACACACACACACACACACACACACACACACACACACACTCACACAAACACACACACACACACACAAAGTTATAGTTTAATTAAAAAGAATCCACAAGATCTGCCTTTTTCATTTTTATAGATTTTTTTTAATTTTCGAATAAAGTGTTGAATATTGTGCGCAGAATCAGTACAATACTCAACACACTCGAATACTCTTATCAACCAAAATTGTTTAGATGATTACTTCCTGTCTAACGAATACTTGCTGGTTGTATATCTATCTATCTATCTATCTATCTATCTATCTATCTATATATATATATATATATATATATATATATATATATATATATATATATGGTATTTTTCTATTGATGTTATAAAATGCTTATGTTATAATTGTTGAACAAATATTTTTGCCCTACTTTGTATTGAGCACGTTTTTTAAAAATATTGGTTTTGGTTATAGGTATTTTATTCTATATTTACGAACCTGTATTCGGTTATATATATATATATATATATATATATATATATATATATATTTGACTATATATATATAGGTAACTATACTATTTGACTATTATATATAGGTAACTATACTCGTCTCGAAAAACCTTCGAATTTTTGATTTGCCAATAATCAAATCAATCCCGAGGGAAGAAAAGGTTTTTAAAAAGAATGAGCTAGAAATATGAAACTCTGTCGAAAAAAATCGCACATACAGGTTCAAAGCCCAAAGAAAAAATCTCGACACGAGTAAACAACTAACTAACTAAAAAGAGCTCAATACAACCGTAGAGCAGACCTAGTTGACTATATATATATATATATATATATATATATATATATATATATATATATATATATATATATAAAGTAGAAGTTTGTCTTGCCTGTTTGGTATTACCTTCAGCATCCCGACTCTCTATAGCCTCTTGACATAGAAACCACAATTTAATGCAGATGGTCAATTTCATACTTTAAAATGCAGTCACCATACAGTGTTGCTTTCTATGTCGACACTGTTTATATCTCTAAACGCTCTCTCTCTCTCTCTCTCTCTCTCTCTCTCTCTCTGGTAACGATTAATTTCCACATCAATCTAGCTAATTTTGAAACAATATTTTATATCTGTGTAAGTTTTCCTTTTACAGCGAAAGAAACAGGCACTGTTGAAAATCGAACCCGGTTTTTCCAGTGCATTTTCTGATAAGCGAGACATCGAGCAATAGGCCAGCTCTTGCAATAACAGAATTCTAAAAGTTACGCATGTTTAAAAAAAAGAAAATAACTCTCGTGAATCGGGACGGCGTCAAGATTTCAGAGAAAGAGTTTTAACATTGTGTTGATGATACTGGAGCATTATCTGGAATGAATAAAGAATTCTCCCCACTTTTTTTTTTGTCTGCCCACATTTGAAAATGGAAAGATAATAATAATAATAATAATAATAATACTGACATATTACAAGGAAGCCTGGGGGCAAAGAGCAGTTTGGGAAAATGTAAAATCGATGAAAGAATCTGCGCAGGACAAGCAGTTCTAATGTAGGTCGATGAATTTTTGATGATTTTGTAATTTGCTCTCAGGTTTCGACGGCGGACACCATTTTACACCTGACTGCGTCGTCAAAATGGAGTTTTTGCTTCTTCCATCTTGTTTCATTCAATATCGAGAAAGACTAAATGAAGCCTACAACATTACGCTTCCATGTTCCTCGTTACAGGGATCTATCTGTATATGTACAAGTCTGTGCATATCTATCTATCTATCTATCTATCTATCTATCTATCTATCTATCTATCTATCTATTCTAAGTGTATTCATATCTATCTATCTATGTATCTATGTATCTATCTATCTATCTATCTATTCTAAGTGTATTCATATCTATCTATCTATGTATCTATGTATCTATCTATCTATTCTAAGTGTATTCATATCTATCTATCTATGTATCTATGTATCTATCTATCTATTCTAAGTGTATTCATATCTATCTATCTATCTATCTATCTATCTATCTATCTATCTATCTATCTATCTATCTATCTGATTATTGGTGATATCTATCTATCTATCTATCTATCTATCTGATTTATTTATTTATTTATATCTATCTATCTATCTGATTTTGTTTATATCTATCTATCTATCTATCTATCTATCTATCTATCTATCTATCTATCTATCTATCTACACTGTTAATATTTAGCTATATATAGTAATCAGCATATATTATTCGGATATCCCTATATATATATATATATATATATATATATATATATATATATATATACAAGGTTTGTTAAAACCAACGAAAGTTCTTCATTAAAGGTGATTTTTATCAAATTTTCTGCATTCAAGATCATTTTTCTCATTTCCGGTACATATTTAAATAAGAATTATCTAATTTCTTTGTCCTTTCGGAAACCTGTATAAACTGAAAGTACTTAGGCATCAGATAATTTATATTTCAGTATGTGATAAACTGACTGCTATAAAATATCTAAAAAAAGAAAGTAAGATGGAATATATAAAAACTAGTTGGATATATTTCTTAGGGAACACACAAACATACACTCACACAAACACACGCAGAAACACCTTTCTTTTCTTTTTTATGTGCAGTGGCCTTTCAGAACGTAGGCGACCATGGCTCTCCACTACCTCCTATCCTTTGTAGCTCTCAATAAGTTTCGTCCCTCTGCCACCTTCCCCAGACCACATTATATCATCTACTTGCCTAAGCCTGCCGGGTATGTCATGTGTTGCTTTCTCTTGTCTCTTTTCCTCTCTATTCGACCTGTGAGTATCAGATTCTCCAGCCCCTCTTTTCTCGTTACGTGTTTCAGAAATTTTAGCTGCCTCTTCCTGATTTTAAG